CAACTGCCGGTTAATAGACTTTTTTTGCCGTATGAGTATACGTTACCCAGGGTGCACCACATGGAGGTAAGTCTATCGCACACCCCCTCTTTTATAAAATAAAATTTTTAAAAGCCGTTGGCATAAATAATAAACACTGAGGTTTGCAGTTGCTTGTAATTGTATCAATGCACTTCACAAAACTCCTATTAAGTTAACATTCGAAGAGGCCTTGATAACAAGACGCATAACATCAAAGACTGAAGAGGAGCTTGGCCACAGACGTCATATTTTTTGCATGTTAAGTGTTTATTTGCTCATTTATTTATTTTATTTATTTATTTCAAATGGCAGGCGTTTTGATAGTTATCATTAGGCCTTCTGCTGACTTCGGGCTTCGCAGGGGGAAGGAACATCATAGTAACAGAAAGTCCAAATTTCCAACTCTGCACTCTTTCCAGTTGTTTTCCTCCACGAAAAATTTTAAATGTTTTTTGTCTTGCACTGAGTTTTAACAGTGGAAAGATTTTTGCCAGCCGAAGGTGATGATAGTGACATATAACACACAATGAACTTTTTAAGAATTTCAAAGTTTTTTATGTGAAGGCTAAATCCGCATTTTACTCATAATGAATTGCTTAGGTTAGCGTCTTTTGACTTAAGCAGATAACCAACAAGGAAATTGTTAAATAAATGTCTACTTACGTTAATAAGTATTTTAATTAAATATGCATAAATCTTCTTGCAGATAATTTTCTGTTGAACTTTCCAGGCGCCTACTTAAATAATCAAAATATACTCAGGTCGGAATTCGGGCTATTTGTATGTCTTTTTGGGTATCGACATACTTGAGAATTTTGCGTTGGAGAATTTTGCAATTACCTCCAGGGTGTGGACACAAACGTGAATTCCCTTCTCCACAGAAAAGGCTTACTTGTGTTCTAACTAGATGAAAGCAAAACTCCTGAATGCGTTTACTCACTAATCAGGCAGCCTTGTAGATAACATTATTTTACTTAACGAACTCAGTGTCACCTTAATTTACACAATAAACATTTCTTCAAAAATCGTTCTAGCCAATGATTTTTATTTATTTATTTCAAATGGTAGGCGTTTTTATAGTTATAATTAGCCCTTCTGCTGGCTTCGGGCTTCACAGGGGGAAGGAACATCATAGTAACAGAAAGTCGAGAGGTGGGGAACAGAAGAGTAATTCACAGATGTAAAAAAGAGAGAGACACAAAGACAGAGAAAAGGCACGATGCGTACTGTGGAAGTGGTAGAATGACATACAATGGGGCCATTGCTTTTTGAAGTCAGAAGTCAACTGCAGGTTTATAGACTTTTTGTTGTGTGAGTATGCGTTGCCCGGTGTACACCACGTGGAGGTAAGTCTATCGCACACCCCATTCTAGCCAATGGTAATATATGATCTTGTATTAGTGTTCTTGGAAGTAGCTACATTTATCAAATGACTCCAACTCCAAAGTACTAAATTGCAACCTATAAGAAATTGGTTTTAAAATGTTAGAAGGAGTATTATGGAGGTGGAATTTGTACTAATATTAGGGAGAAATAATGATAACATGGATCCCCAGAGTAGTTAACAGCAAATGGTTTCCAAAACTAGAACTTTTGATCCCGAAAGTCAACCGGTTACAATTCTGAGATGGGAAAGAAGAGTGAAATTCACTTTTTAACTCGGAATTCATGGAAAACACCAATCACCTACGTCATGTTGATATTAGAAGGCCAGTGCACCGCTATCGGAGGTTGTTTCCCTTGACTATCAAAAACGCCGAGACTGAGTTCTCAAGCTCATTTATAAGACTAACAGGGGAAAATTAGATCCCACTTATGTAATGAAGCATACAATTCGCCTATTGGAGCATTGATGAACAAACTAAGTGTGGTTGAAAGTTGGCCAGGGGTCATAGTACAAGGGTCTGATAACAGGAGTAGATCAGTCGCAGGGGTGTTCGTCAACAATGGGAATTGGGGAAATTCATAGTAAAATGGTTAGCTGATTTAAAATCGCTTTCTATTTTTGAATCTTTTGTTAATAGTGACTAACGCTAAAAACGAAGTAAAACTGATTGCAAAACATTTCTTTCGGAATATCCCAATTCATTTTTGACCTTCTTCATGATGATGAGAGGAAAATTCTCCGATTAGGAAATGAGGTAATTCCGCTGAGTTATGTGGGCTCATGCAAAATTACCCATTTCGGTGTACTATTTTACATTCTGCCTTAAATTGTAAATTCTCGGCATGAACTGATCGCCACGACTAAAAAAACAATCAAATCACTATTTTTTCCTCTTTTGTCTTCTGACAAATTAATTACAAGGTCGGATAAGATGACATCTTCACAATTTACACGGTTAGTAGCCTCATGCAGTGGCTGCCATAGTTAACAATAGAAGGCACTATTAATGTGTGCCAATCGAAAAATCTGATGAAGACCTTGTGAAGTTCGCGACTAACTCTCCTCCATACAAAAAATTAAGAAAAATGACAAATTGAAACAAACATAGAACCAAAAATAATTAAGAGAAGTAGTCATAAGAAAATGTGAAAAAATGAAAATAAATGTGCGAACAAAAATAACATAATTATGAAACGCTGTGGATTGCTCACCTTATATTGCTCTCCAAAATACATTTCAAATCATCATTCGGATGGAAATATCTTTTTGTGGCCAACGTCAACGTCAGCATCAGAGTAAATCCAAAGGGTCGTATGACCAACCGCACTAGTAAAACTTGGTTAATAGAGAAAGAGAGTGGAAGATAACGCTATTTCGTCAAGTATTGTTATGATGCAATCTTACTGAACAAGACGGGTCCCGAAAACCATTTTGAGCTTAGCTTCCAAGATAGTAACTTATGAGTTATTCAATTTGGCTTCATTACAATCAGATGACAGAAAGACTGCTAATAAGTGTTCCAATTGTAACAGCATAACTTGAATGAAAGCGCTGTTGTAATCTTTTTCAGCCTTTACCCGCTGCATTGCCTAGGACTGTTTAAAGTGTTGCACTGACACACCTCAAAGCTGGTGTAGAGAATAGAGCGGGGGAGAGAGAGAGAGAAAGAGATGAACGGACAGGCAAATGAGGAGCCAATCACTAAGTAGGGATTATACTGGCTGCCTCATTTGCCTACGCACGTTCGCGCATGCAGACTTGACAAGTGATTTTGCGTATTTACTGGCCGCGGGTTGCAGCTGCTTCTACAACAGCAGCGAAAACAGAATTTTTAGAATTTTACACTAACTGCACCGTGGACGGTAGTAATACTGTGCCCACTAGGTGTCTATAAATATCCCCTTCACTTCGGTCATTGTCCGTGCAATAGCACAATTCTAACTTGGAATCTTTCCCGCACCAGTTTTGCCATTCGTTTGAGGGTAATTATCTCTCTTTTTTAGTTAATACTCTTAAACACGTTTGTCCAATTTATGCTTATACTAACCCATTAATTCGGTGCAGAATGACTTGATATTTGTGGGCTATTTTAGCTAATCAAATTAAGTATTAAAGGCAAATATTTTGCAAAGGGGCTCTCTACTTTTTAAAGGAGTGTCCTTCATGTGCTTTTCGATAGATAAATCTGCCAAAATAATTTCTTCTTTGGCTTTATATTAAACGACGTTTCGCGATTATTTGCAGTGGGGCTCGGTTTCATTTGGGTCTAATATTTGTTAAAAGCAGAAATTGTTTTGATTAATTCTCACATGAAAGAATAACTTCATATATCCTATTATGAACTATTGTTTATAGAATTTTAATGCAAACGGAGAGATGTTAGAGTTAGGTTTTTTTTTAATTTTCGATAAAGTCTTTGCACAGAAATATTAGCTCATTTAGTTTGGATTGTTTCTTCATATCACCTTTTATCAACAATTCTTTTTTTCTATGAAGTTTCATTTGAATTCGCGAATACCAGATAATATGTCGAGTTTATTAAAAGAGTCTGCAATTTTTAGGAGTTGGGAATATCATTGATTAACCAATTACGAATATGATAAATCGGGCAGGTCTCATGTAAACAAGACATAAACATATTTTTCCCAATCATCAATTTACTTCATCACCAATTTTATCCCATTTATTTAAGTCTGGTCTGTGGATGTTCTCGGAGGTATTTGAATTCATTTTTAAAATATTGTCATAACCTATCACCCTCGCAAATACATTTAACCTTACTTGCTCAGTTTAAAACTTCAAATTTCAGTCACCTAAATCACATTTCTGTGTTATTTCAAAGATCGGGAAGAAATAAGCTTAGACTCTTATAGAAGACATGCAACCGAGATATGCCTCAAACAGTTCAGAAGCCGGAGACGAGCGTGAAACTTGGAGTAGTTCATCTGCAACAATTCCTCCAATAGCAGGATTTCATTCACAACTTCATCCTCCTCATCACCATCACTTCCATGGAACTCCGCTGATAACTGCTTTGCCACAACATACTGAGTCACCCCCAGTGCAAAATCCTGCCCTCGAACCCCATCTCCATCATCATCATCATCCGAAATATAGATCATCCAATGAATGGAAAAAGCTCAAAGATAACTCTCCACACCGTCATTTCCCTTTAAATGAAAATCCAAAAATGTCGCCATGCAAAACGTTGGGGATTGGTGAGTTAAATCAAATTTTTCCAAAAATATTACATTTCTTAATCGAAATAAGCATACGCTTTGAATATATTTCCGGCGTTTTGAAATGCATTGATATTAATGCAGGACATTATTCTTTTAATCAATTGTGCGGCTATTTTAAATTAAAAGATTGTTTTAATTCAATATAGAAGAATGCCAGTTGATCTGCGCCATAGTGATTTTAAAGGCAATATTTATTGGTTTTCCAAGTGAATAAGTCAAAGGCGATTGATTTGATCATCAAAGTGACTTTTAAATACATCAACCAGTTTGGTTACTTACTGTGAACAAAAATAAAACTCCATTCTTGATTTACCTCAACAACTGCCAATTTTTAAATAATGGGACAGATAATTTGCAACTTTAAGATGGGAGGATTGAATATATGTTGGTATCCCGGGAATACGCGACAGACTTACCTCAACGTGGTGCGTCCTGGGCAGCACATACTCATACGGCAAACAAGTCTATAAGCCGGCAGTTGACTTCTGACTCCAAACTACCATGACCTAACTGTATGTTATATTCGACTACTTCCACAGTTCTCACCTCACATTTTTTCTACCTTTGTGCCTGTCTCTTTTACATCTTCGAAACACTCTTCTATTCCCCCCCCCCTCTCGAATTTTTCACTGGAGTCAACTAAAGGGCTAATGATAACTATCAAAACGCCTGTCATTTGATATAAATAAATGTTGTTATCCTAAAGTGACAAAAACAGACAAGACTCTAAACTATGCCATATTTTGAATTAAAATATATCAAAGGACATGGCAAATATGACTTCGCTTTCCTCTACCA